TCAGAAGGATTCAGAAAAATCCTTCAGTTGTCTGGTTCTGAGGATTTTCATTTTCTTTAAGTTAAAGTGTAACCCACCTTGAGGAATGTCTTAGATCTTCAAATCCGCTTTGCAGTCCTTAAGCAAAGTTGTGTGTCATTGCAAATTGCCCTTTGTAATGTCTTCCTCCAAACCTGATGCAGTGTTTTTCTTCATAAATCTAGTTGGGATTGTGGAAAGTAGATGGAAAGAACAAGTATTATTTGGTCATTTCATATGTGCTTAATCACTCATCCACTGTCATCAAGTTGGAATCCTCTGGTGGGTTTTTGGAGGCCATAAATTTCACAGGAGGAGACTGTCCCCTGTGGAGCCACTGATAGATTCAAACCACCAGAGAGGTACCATCTTTGGGTTAGCAGTGCAACTCCCAATGGACTCTACCACCAGAGCTAATATGTGCTGAAATGCTTTACAGTTGTTAGTTTATTTAGTATGTGCTACAATGCTTGGCATATGGACAAATATTTTCAACCTCGTTTTACACATAAAAGGAACTCAGTACTTAATTGTGAATAATAAGTGAAAAAGATAAAAAATTAAAACGAAGTGTCAAATCATGTATTCAAGGACCAAGAGGCTAGAGGAGGTCTTTTCCACACAGATACTGTGCAAAGTTCTCTGGTTGTTCAAGCTGTGGCTAATGACTGTTTTCAGAACATAGCATCACTGTGGATCAGAGGTGCCAGATGTCAGGGTACAACGAAGGATGGTCAAACCTGCCTTGTGTCTTCCTTTGCCATGTTCTGTGTAAGTGTGAGCAGTTACTCTATTTTCTAAACTTCAGGTACCACACCTGTGAAATGGGGCCAAATGTATTTATTCCAAAGGTTGTAAGGCAAGCAAGGTGGCTAATTTAGAAAATATCTGAAAAAGGCTTGAGTATTAAGTAAACCTGTGAAAGCCAGAGCCTTGTAAGGCAGAAAATAGGCAGAGAAGGAAAATTCAAATACTAACTTGAAGCGTGACTCAGTGGTAAAAGTTTCATCTTCCAGGAACAACACCCAGATTTGATGCTAGGCCAATGCACCTCATGTGCACCCACCTAGCGTCTGGGTACTGCTCAACAGGTTTTAGTGCAGCTTTTAGATGAAGATAGTCTAAAATAGACTAAGATAGACCTGGCGGTTTAGTCCCTAAAATCAAAGAACCAAAACCTGATGGCTTATAAAAGTCCATCTTGTATCTAGTGGGAATTGTGAAGGCAGGATGGCGTTTAGCTCAGTTGTGCATGAGGTTGTCCTGTACCGGGGTTTATTCACAAATTATCAAGGACATTATAACCTAGAGACTTTTAAAAAAATTGCCTTGCACTGAGTGGGAACTGACTCATAGCTGACCCTCCACTAGGTTTCGGCAACTGTGTAATTCCAACTTGATGGCATACAACCACAGCAGCCACTTTATCTCCTAGAACCCGTGAATATAACCTTACATAGCAAAAGGAACTTTATAGATGTAATTAAGGTCTTAATATGAGATTACCACAGATTATCCAAATGAGTCCTGACAGATACTTAAATACAAAGAAAAAATACCTTTTCTGTCAATATTTAGAACATAGGATTTCTGAGTTCTAGAACTGTCAGACAATTTGTTATAGTAAAACAGAAACTAATACAGGGGAAGAGTTAATTTTGCTGCTATAGAGTGAGATGCAGAGGGTCCATATAAAAACTGCTTGAACTGGTTTTAAAGCTGGATTGATGTGAAAGGAGTAGATGTAAAGTGTTGGTGGTCGAGTTTGACATCTACCCACTTCATGAAGGGGAATATTCCCTATCAATAATACCTATAGGACCTTACAAATAGCTACATGGTCAGAAATGTCATCCCACATGCTCCTGCACCTATTTCTACCAATCATTGGTCCGATGTTCATTGCAAATTGACTCTTGGAGATCACACAGTTGTGGGGTTTACTAGGGAAAACGGTTGGAGAGTAGGGGAGGCAAAACATATCTCACAATATAAGTCCAGAAGTCTCATATAAACAAGGTACATATCCTCAATTAGTCAAAGCCCAGAATCAGTTCAACAGCACAAATGCAAGTAACCTTTGCTTTTCTCAATTGTCCAGCAAACCAAACTTTTAACTGTGGCCTTTATCTCCAGGGTTCTTCTTCCAGGGTTCCACCTTCCCACAGTCTCTTCACAACAGTGCCACAGTCTCCTAACAATATCTCTATTACCATCATCACCCTTCTTTAGAGTATGGAGAGCACTCTCTTATGGAGAGCCCCACAGTTGTTGATAATTTGCAAGACCATGTGTCTGCAGTTAAGGTAGCTGGAAATCATGCTCCCAATGGGGGCTAATACAATGGCTAGGAGAGCCAATTTTCAAGGGTTCTGACACCCTAGTTGTGCTCTGTAAGAAGGAAGAGGATGAAGAAGAATAGGCCATTCTAGTCAGAACAGATTAAGCCCTAATTACCTTGGTTGTGTTAATTTTTTTGAAACTGCTAATTTAGTGTTAAGGTTTTGGTTAACCAGAACAAGAGTTAGTAGACTATGGTTGATGTAGGAAGAGTGTAAATGTCTAACTTGTTCTGATGTCAGAAGACTAATAGACTAATTTCTTACAGGGACAATGGTGTTTATTTCTCCAAATCATGACTGACACTGAAATTCAATAGCTGAAGCTTCTGCTGTGCCCCTTAGTCTTCCTAACTTGGCCATCTCTCAAATGGAGTTTGAAGAACATATGGAAAGAAATGTTTTAAAATTATATTAATGATCTTAGGGCTGACTTATTTAACAAGCTATTTTATTCCAGAAGATAAACTCTAAGTGGTGGCGGTTGTTAGGTGCTGTCAAATTGAGTACAACCCATAGGGACACTATGAACAACAGATTTGAACCCTGTCCTATTCTGTACCATCCTCACACTTCCTGCCACACTAGAGCCCATTGCAGTCATCACTGTGTCAATACACCTGGTTGAGGGTCTTCCTCTGCGTCAACCCCGTCTTTCTGAGTGTCATGTTCCTCTCCAAAGAATAAACCCTTCCTTTGCAGCATTCTTGAAGTATGTGAGGCTCTAAGGAGCACTCTGGCTGCACTTTCTCCAAGACATATTTGTTTGTTCCTTTGTCAGTTCATGAGATGTTCAGCACTCTTCTTCAACACATAGCTCAAAGGCTTCAATTCTTCTTCTGTCATCTTTATTCACTGTCAGTTCTCAGATGCACGGCAAGTGGTCGGAAAGACCACGGCCTGAATCAAGATGGACAATACTCGTCAAATTGACATCATTACTCTTGACATTTTGGAGAGGTCCTTGTCTGTAGACTGTAGACTTTACCAGTGTGATACATCTCCTGGGAACACAGTCGAAAAGAAATTAGAAATTTGTTTTCTCACAGCATAGAGGTTAGATGTTCAAAGTGTGGCCACTGATGTAGAGATTTTCTGCCATTTCTGGAGGAAGATCTTTTCTCTGTTTTGTGGTTCCTTGGAAATTCCCAAGTGTGTTAGCTTCAATGTTTCCTGGGTCTCAGTGCAGGGGGTTCTCAACATAGGGACCCCAGACCTCACGAACATGCTATACTCCAGGTTTCTGTTTCTGGATGGCACTGAGGTTCCTCCTCCTCTCTTCCCTGTTTATCTCTTATAAAAGGTGTCAAACAAGGGTGATGACTTAAGATGCATTCTACTCTAATGCTGCCTCCCAAACATTACAGCTTGGAATGAGATCATATCAAAAAAAGGCAAAGAAGTGCACACACCAGGAACCATGGTCTAATCGAGCTGACATATGGGGTTTTTTTTAAATTTTTTAGGGAATAGGGAGCACAATTCAGTGCATGACCCCAACTGTCAAAGGGCTTCCTAGTGGAACTTCCACTGCTACTTTGTGCAGCGAAGACCACTTCCCAGTAAACTATGATCTTGGTCCACTTGTCTAGAAAGCTGCCACTCATGTTCTAGTGTTTCTGGCTGTTCTTAATGAATAACAAGAGCTCTTAGGGAAGCATAAGCATAATCTTTTATTCTGAGGTCCTGCCTGAGCTCATTAGGTCCTTACTCTCTGCTGTTTTTTTCAGGGAAGCTGAGGAGAAACATTTAAAAGGATTTTTAAAAATTTTTATTACTAATGCAAAAAAAAATGCTAGGCCACAGTTAAAGAAAAAAAAGTGTTTATTTAGGCCATCAATCAGGATCATAATAAATAATGCAATGTACTAATGTTGTAACAGATGTTCTCATGCATTTATCACATTTATAAATATATGAGGAAGCTGGCATACAGGGCTGTTCGGATGAATTTGGAAAAGTATTTGGTAATACAGTGAAAATTAACAGTGTTAAGACTATCAAACAGATTCTCTTTCTTGTCAATTTGTAAATGATTAATTGTGTGTCTTAATGGTAATGTCCCCCTCTAGTTTCTACTTGTTGCAAAACATTCCAGAGGTAAGCCAATTGCCAAAGGCTCCAGGGCAGATACTTTGTTATTGATCAGCATTTCTAATGGAAAACAGATTTTAGAAAACAAAGAGCAAAAATGAACTCTTGTGCATTTCTCTCTATACCTGCCTTCCCCCTCTTTGTGCATTTCAGTGTTAAGGCTACTACACCACAAGTCAAAATCCTTTAGTAACAAAATGTTCTTGAATAAAATAAAACCTAAAAGTAAAAGTTTTTAAATTTTTATACTCAACATACAAATGCTACAGTATTATGATGTTTGTAATGTATTAAATGAAAAACGGTTTGACTGCCAAATAAACGAACTTTGAATAAAGTTTAATTTTGCTAATAAATTTCACATAAAGGGTAAAGATAATCTTTAACATAAAACTTTAAAACAAATAATTTAAACATCTTTTAAATACTTAAAAAGTGTTTTGAGTTGTTATTTACAGTTAATCAGTGATACCAGTGTATGGCTTAATTTAGCCAACAGCCAAGTCATGTGTCCCCTTTCCAACATCTGCTATTAAATACTTAAGTACTTCAGTTTAATGAAGGAGAACGATCAGTGGTCCAGAGCAATTCGATGTACGGCCATTTGGTTTGCAGACAGCGTTTAATAGGAGTGTCATCCGTCTGCAGCATGGGATCTTCAAAACCCATTACAACAGCAGTCCCTTCGACATACATTACCTGTTGAAGAAAATAAAGGCCTGCAAGGTCAACCAATATTCTTTGCAGAATCTCATGAGGGATTCAAACACTTTTCACAGCCTAGTATTTAATGTATTATATGTTACTGTCTAGAGAATTTTACATTTAACTTTATTTAGGTAAAAAAGATGAACAAGAATGCTTACAGATGAATGTGGTAAAGGTATGATATAAACTTTAACTGCTGTCAAGCCAATTATTTTAGAATTGATGGGACGGATCTTTTGTGAAAAACAATGTATTCAAACTTTGTAAATAAATCCAAATAAAATAAAAAATATTAAAAAAAGAAAAAATTAGAATTGATCATGATTTTAAAAAGTTTTGATAAATCAGTAAACAGAAATCACTTTTCAAATGACATATACCATATGGAAGATATGTTAGGTGACTGTTTATATCACTTATATAGTTCTTCCTGTTTCCATAAAAAGGGTCCTGGGATGCTGATGATGCCTTATGAGATGGAAATCTATAGCAGAAATATAGCTATCTACTCTCAGGAGGACTGTATTTTTGCCTTTCAACTGAAAGGTTGAATTTTCAGACTTGTATATTTGTCAATGACATTTGTTATTACTGCCTTAAATTTTTCTTAAATGTTCTCTATAAAGTATAGTTTGTTCTGCAAGAAAAATCGGAGAAAAAAAATGAAAAAAAGACATCGAACAGGCAAAGGTTGAAAATCAAATTAACCAGGTAATTTACAAACACTGAAAAGATTATATAAATTACAAACTTATAGTACCAGATTTGTTGGTTTTGAGTTGATTCTGATTCATAGCAACTCTACAGAACAGAGAAGTATTTCCCAGTAAGGTTTCTGAGGCTGTAATTCTCATGGAAGCAGACTGCCAGATCTTTCTCCGATACAGCAGCTGCTGGGTTACAAATATTGATTTTTTTTTTTTTTCAGTTAGCATCAATCACATAATGCCACTGTGCCACTTGGGCTCCACACTGCCAGACGGCTGCTGTTGTTATGTGCTGTCAAGACAGAACTGACTCACAGCTAATTCTCCAGTGGGTTTTCAGATGCAGTAAATACAAGGAAGTATCTTTCCTGCAAAGCAGCTGGTGGATTTGTACCCACCTTTGAAATGGCAGCAGCACTCCTTATTACTAGGCCACTAGAGCTCCCTAGTGAGTAGATAGATTGCAGAAAAACAGTTTTATTCTGATTTCTTTAATTTAAGATTTAAAAGTTTTAGGGGTAAAAAAGTTCTAGAAATGTCCATGAAACAGTGTATGCATAACAAACATATAACCCAAGGGCTCATGTACTTAGTCATTCTTTTTTTTTTTTTACCAAGAGAAATGAAAACTCTTTATAATGTGAAAGAAATAGATACAGACTGACTTCTTCCAAAGTAAGTAAGTATTTTTACACATTTAGCGGCTCAGACACAATTGTAATTACCTCCTTTATTTAAAAATACATTGCTATACTTGAATGGATTTGATGGCATCTAACAACAACAACAATGGAATGAACTGTTATATCAGTTATGCACTGCCAAGTTAGAACCGATTCATAGCTGACCCCCTTGTGAATTTTCAGAGGCTGTAAACTGTGCAGGAGATTGCCCATCTTTCTCTTGTAGAGCAGCTGGTGGATTTGAACTGCCTGCCTTTGGGATGGCAGTGTAAATCCTTACTAGGCCATCAGGGTTCCCTTTTATAGTAATAGATCTGACATTTTGGTTTCATGCACTTCTTTCAATCTGAATATAAATAATAATGTGTTTTACCTTTTTCAGAATAAATTTATTAGTTATTTAAACTTTGTTTTTGAGTACCGTCAAGCTGAACTGACCCATAGCTGACCCACCGGCCAGTTTTCAGAGGCAGTGATTCTCATGGGAAGAGATTTCCCAGCCTTCTCTTTTTGGATCAGCTGGTGGTTTTGAACCGTGTGCCTTCAGGAATGTAGCACAGTTTCTTACCACTAGTCCACCAGAGCTCCCACAACTGCTTTTTAATTCCCCAAAGCAAAATTGCCTTTTCTGAGGAATTGTACACAAAGAACGTCACTCAAGCTATTATAGTGAAGCATGGCCTATTTTTCAAAAAGAGCTTATACTTGTTCATATTAAGATAGTACTGCTTAGGCAAAGTATGGTGATGTGTCTTCCTGGGACTCAGACAGGCTTTGGAGCCTGGGGAATCATGCTCCTCCCACTTTATCAGCATTCTCCTTGTATGTGTTCTCAGATATTCTTAACAATACCGTGGCATGCAGCCTGTGTAAACTTCTAGCTCTAATATAACTTCATAATATTATACCTATGCAACTTAATGACACACATGATTTGCTTTATGCTATTGTCATATTGATATTTAATCTTTTCAAATTCTGATCGTCTTGTATGTCAGATTTTTGTAGCAAGCATAATCTGAAAACTTACTATACACAGTTGGTGTGGCCAAGCAGATCAAACACAGAGAACTAAAACAGACAATCAGAAATTCCTGCTTTGCCAGAGATCTACTGTGTGACTGTGGTGAGATGCCGCATCTGTAAAAGATGGACCAGTTATTCCCTTCACAATCACTTGGAGTAATTTGACTGACACATCTCAAAGGGGTGTACAGGCCAATAACCACTTGTCTGTCACAGATGCTGTTAGGCACCACAGAGTTGGCTCTACTTACAGTGACCCTATGGACAAAGGAATGAAACAGTTTGGTCATGTGCTATCCTCACAATCACTGTCATGCTGTAGCCCACTGTTGGAGCCACTCTGTTGATCCATCATTAATTTCCTCTCACTGTCACTGAGTTGGTTTCTACTCACAGTTACCCTCCAGCAGATTCTCAAGGCTGTAATTCATAAGAGGAGACAGTCCACCTTCTCCTTGAGAAGTCACTGGTGGATTTAAACCACCAGAGAAGTGTAGCCTTTGGGTTAACAGCACAACTTGCCATGGACTATACACCCAGATTATAAAATCCACTGCCAACAAACTTATTAGCAACCTAGTTGGATAGAAGAGAACTGTCACACAAGGGATTCTGAGGCTGAACATTCTTATAGGACAATATATCATATCTTTTTCCTCTGGAGTGGCTGGTGGGTTCGATCTGCTCACCTATTGGTTACACTACAGCACCAGTAGAGTTCCGGTAACACTTAGGCCTTTGTTAATGTTCCACAAAGGAGAGCAGCAAAACACAATGGCTAAGAGGTCAAGATTGACAGTTAAAAACTACTTCACTGTCAATTCAGGTTTCCCATTGATTGCTTGCCCTTGGGCACACACATTGCTTACCTCTTGGTGTTTCAATCTCCTCTTCTGTACAATGGGGATACAGAAATAATCTCTACTCATAGGCTGGTTGTGAAGCTGAAGACAAAATGCTTAGTAATATTTTAGGCAATTGCTCCATAAATGCTAGTGATTATGTCACTAAGGAGCCCCAGTAGCACAGTGCATTATGTACTACTGGGCTGCTAATGGAAAGGCTGGTAGTTTGAGTCTATAAGATGCTCCTTGGAAGAAAGATTAGGCGCTCTCTTTTTAAGAGTCATAGACAGGTTCAGAAACTTGATGGACTATCACCAGAGCCAGAATTTACTGAAAGGCAGTGGGTTTGGGTACTGATTTAAACAAGTTACAAAGATTTTTCTCAGAAATGCCATTGTCACCTTTTTCTCTATTTTCATGAATCAGTAACAAATTCCACAGAAAAAATTACAACTTGTGGTTTAGTAACTGCTACAGAACAAAGATATCAAGATATATAGAGTTATGCTGTCATGCTGTCACAGTGACCTATGGCTTGCTCTAAACGTCCCATGTAGATGTTACTGAATATCACATACTAGTCACTGAAACAAGACCAGATCTAAATATGCTGTGACTTACGTAAAGAAACTCTTGGAATAATATCCACGGATAGCAATTTTATTGCAATTAAATACTGTTAATAATTTACATATCTATATTTAATTAGCCTAGGAAGAATAGGTTTAGTGTTCAAAATGGCCTTACTAGTCATCAACTTTGTCTTTCATCACATGACACGTGGGAACCTGAATGAAACAGGGAGTATATAAACTAACCATTACGAGACTGGTCTGTTTTTCTTACTTATTGAGTTTACACTGAGCAAGTTTAGTGGCAGAATATGGAAGCCTCACTAAGAAGTAGTGGAGAATGTAGCACCATATCCTTTAAGGTCAGAAATTCCTAGGACAATCAGACTGGGTCCTACATGAGAGCAGCAATAGCCTCAAGGAGAACCAGAGATCAACCTGACTGAGACTGCTGTCCCAAGGAATCAGAGCCAGAGGCCTCTGCCTAAACTCACTGGAAGGAGACTCATATTTGGCAGGACTAAGAGAATTTTGTAACACTGATCTAAGATGTGGGGGTGAAGGTCAGAGGGCTTGTGAGCACACTTGAGAAGCTATTCTGACTGAGGAAATGTGTTCTTTCATCTATTTGAATTGTAACACGATAGTTTTCGTAATAAACCTAATAACCTTGAGGATGGTTCTATGAGATCTGTGTGACTACTACTGTGGATTTCAAACCTAGTAGTGGAGCAGTATGATTGGTGGAATTAACAGAAGTAGGTGTGGGAGCATAGAGATGATACCATGCTCATAACAACTGGTCTTGCTTTGTGGATGTTGTTGACAAGAACAGTTTCCTCTAGAAATGACTGTGGAATAAAGGTTACTTTCCCATGCCACTCCCATTTATCTTACAATGAATTATCATACCTTTTCATTATAATTTGATTGCTTCAATCCATTGTAGTGGTAGACAGTAAAGGACTCTGGACCACTGGAACCCTAGCATAAATAAAGCACTATTAGAAACTTAAATATATCTTATTTCTAATTGAGTGTAAAAGGAAAGATTCTTAAATCCTCACTCTCAAATTGGTGAATCACTTGATTAAAAAAAGAAAATTTTATTTACGGAGTTAAAAGACCACAAAAATCTACAAATGGAAGCTTATGAAATTTTGCTTGTGGAAGAGACTTGGAAACAAGAGTTAATTTTCATAATTTTTTTTGTGTGCTATGTTACTTTATTTTTTAGTGATTTATGCACATTACTGCATTAAAAAAATGATTTAAAAAATAGTCCCCCAAATTTATCTCAGTATTTTCTCTGTTGTGAATCATTCTCTACTTCCAATAGATAAGGCACTATCACTTTTATTCAAACTAAAAATATATAAAAAAACAAATACTTCCCCTTTTGTTCACAACGTTGGAGGTTTTCATTCCAAATTTGCATTTAAATATCGCCAAATTTTAATTAGTGAAAAACTGCATTGTAAGACATGAAAACATGCAATTATTGTGCTTATAGAGAGTTTAGTACTTTAAAAAAATCACTATGACTAAATTTTCAGAAATAGTTTAATCATACAATTCCTATTTTGACATTAAGTCTCAATTAGCTAAAGGTAAAGTTTATTTCCGTTGACTTGGCATTCAAAATTATTGCTGGTTTGTTCTAACAAAAGGTGCTTGGCTCTCCATGATATCACTTGGTGACTACTATAGGTCAGTCTCCCTATTTTTATCTGTCTTGTTTTTCCTGGCCACATCTGACTGATGCAAGGATAGATCTGTGACCCATTTAAGCCAGCATCCCTCTTGACAATATTTTCCCAGTTGGAGGAGAGCTCCAAGCAACAGTGGTTTCAGCTCCCTAGAGATGGGAGAAGAAAAGCAAGTTGTTTTTGGGAGAATGTTGGGATACGGAGACTTCTGCTAGTGTTCAAGGACTTTCATCTAGTTTGTTAGCTGCTCTCTATCTCTGTTTGGTTTTCACTTCTTCAATTTCTGAGGGATACTACTTTCAAGTTTATATCAAATCTCCTATTCCCACTTTTCCCTTAAGTCTAGACTGGACTTTTAAAATTACTTTCTAATCTCTCCATCTTCATTCACCTTTCTAATTCATCTGCTTTAGAAAAGCTTACTATTTATTTTCCATGAAAGACCATTTATTTTTGGCTCTGTGCATATTCACACTCTTCTCTCTTCCTACTTCAACTTCTTTATCAATTTTTAAGACCTAATTAAAATCTTTCCTTTCCTATTAAATTTCTCTTGGTCATCTTAGTTTGGTTCTTTACTATTTTGGGATTCTTATAATAAACTGGAAGCAGGACTGGCATGCACTTTCTAAAATAAACAACACCCACATGGTTTTCAGATCTTTTGTTCATAGAGTTGCTATGAGTTGTGCTCCATTTGACAGCACTTAACAATAATAACAATAATAATAATCATCTGAATAATTTTTACAGGAATGAATCATACTACTTTGGAGCATCTCTTCTATTATATCTTTAATGAATAATTAAATGTTTAACTGTGATTAATACTCTGTTGTTGTTGTTGTTGTTGTTATGTGCCGCTGATTTGCCAGTGACTTATAGCGGCCCTATGTACAACATCATTAAACCCTGCTCTATGTTGTGCCAATCTTACTGTCTCTTACACACCTACCCCCATGACCCCAGTCACTGAATCAATCCATCTCATCGATAGTCTTCTTCTCTTGTACTGTCCCTCCACCCTTCCAAGTATGATGTCCCTCTCCAATGACTGATCCCTACTTGCAACAAGCCCAAAGTATGTCAGATGAAGATTCAGAATCTTTGCATCCAAGGAGCAGCCTGGTCTCACCTTCTCTCTAGGACGAACTTGTTTGTTCTTCTACAAGTCCATAGAGTTCAGTACCCTTCTCCAGTACCACAGCTCAAAGGCATCAACTCTTCTTCTATCATCTCTAATCATTGCCCAGCTCTCTGATGCATAGCAACTAATTGCAAAAATCATGGCCTGTATCAGGGGCACATTGGTCTCCAGACTAACATCAGTGTTCTTCAGTACTTTGGAGGGGGTCTCTGACAGCAGACTATCCCAGTGCAATTCAACTTTTTATTTCCTGGCTACTGGTGCCAAGAGGGTTGACTGTGGAGTCAAGCAAACTAAAGCTGTTAACAATCTCAATCTCTTCACCATCTATCATGATGCTGCCAATTGGCCCAGTGGTGATAACCTTCGTTTTCTTGATGTTGCACTTCAATCCATATTGAAGGCTGGTATCTCTGACTTACTGCAGCAAGTGCTTCAGGTCCTCGTCAGTTTTAGCAAGCAAGGTTGTATCATCTGCACATCACAGATTGTTGATGAGTCTACCTCCAAGATTGATGCCACATTTCTCCCAGTTTCAGCTCTCATAATTTTCTTGGTATCATCTTCACAGTGTGTTACAGAAATTAGAAAAATCCATAATTTGGTAATTCCTTTAACTGTATCTATGAATTAACAGTAACTTAGCTCTGGATTTTCAGTTAATTTATATACTTAAAAGATATATAAATTATATTATCTATTCTTAGTAATTAATAGCTGGCAATAAAATATTGAAGCATCAACAAAAGGTAGTTTAATACAGTAGTAAAGTACTGAGACTCTGAAGTTAAGTGGACCTACACAAGAATCCTGAATCAGTCATTTATGGATGTATGATCATAAGCAATTTTCTAATATTCTGCAAAAATTGAGAGAATGGTATGTTGTTGTTGTTGTTATGTGCCGTCGAGTCGCCTGCAACTCATAGCGACCCTATGTACAACAGCCCTAAACTCCGCTCTGTCCTGTGCCAGTCACACTGTCTCTGACACTCCCATCCCAATTATCCCAGTCACTGAATCAATCCACCTCATAGAGGGCCTTCCTCTCCTGCACTGTCCCTCCACCCTCCCAAGCATGATGTCCCTCTCTAAGGACCGGTCTCTCCTCACAACATGTCCAAAGTATGTTAGAAGAAGCCTCAAAATCCTTGCCTCCAAGGAGCCACCCGGTTTAACCCTTTCCAGGACAAATCTGTTTGTTTTCCTAGCAGTCCATGGTATTCTCAATACTCTTCTCCAGCACCACAGCTCAAAGGCATCAATTCTCCTTCTATCCTCCTTGGTCATTGTCCAACTCTCTGATGCATAACAGGTGATTGCGAAGACCATGGCCTGTATCAGACGCACCTTAGTCTCCAGAGAGACACCACTGCTCTTCAGCACTTTGGAGAGGTCCCTAACAGCAGACTTTCCCATGGCAATGCGCCTTTTAATTTCCTGGCTGCTGGTGCCAAGACTGTTGACTATGGAGCCAAGCAAACTAAAGTTGTGTACAATCTCAATCTCTTCACCATCCATCCTGATGCTGCCAATTGGTCCAGTGGTGAGAATCTTTGTCTTCTTGACATTGAGCCTCAATCCATATTGGAGGCTGCAGTCCTTGACACTGTGCAGCAGGCGCTTCGGGTCCTCTTCAGTTTCAGCAAGCAGGGTTGTGTCATCCGCATAACGCAGGTTGTTGATAAATCGTCCACCAATCTTGACCCCACATTTCTCCTCATTCAGCCCAGCCTCCCAGATAATCTGTTCTGCATATAGGTTGAAAAGGTATGGAGATAGGATGCATCCCTGGTGTACGCCCTTCCCAATTTTGAACCATGCAGTGTTCCCTTGCTCTGTTCTGACGACTGCCTCCTGATCCAAGTATAAGTTTCGCATTAGAACGATCAAGTGTTCTGGGATTCCCGTTCTTCTCAGAGTCAGCCATAGTTTGTTATGATCTACACAGTCAAATGCCTTTGCATAGTCAATGAAACACAGACAGACATTCCTCTGGTATTCCCTGCTTTCAGCCAAGATCCATCTAACATCAGCTACAATATCTCTAGTACAATGACCCCTTCTAAACCCAGCCTGGACTTCTGGTAGTTCTCTGTGCTGTTGATGTGCTGTTCCAGTCATTTTTGGATAATCTTCAGTAAAATCTTGCTTGCATGTGAAATCAGTGAGATTGTTCTGTAGTTTCCACATTCTGTTGGCTCACCTTTCTTTGGGACAGGAACAAATATCGATCTCTTCCAGTCAGTTGGCCAAGTGGTTGTTCTCCAGATTTCTTGGCACAACTTGGTGAGCACGTCCAGGGCAGCATCTGTTAACTGAAATATGTCAATTGGTATACCATCTATTCCTGGAGCCTTATTTTTTGCCATTTCCTTCAAAGCAGCCTGAACTTCTTCTTTCATCACCATAGGCTCTTGCTCATATGTTGTTTTATGAAATTATTCTGTGTCTTCCAATTCCTTTTGATACAGTGACTCAGTATATTCTTTCCATCTTCTTTTAATACTTCCTGGATCATTTAACAGAATTATATCCACTTTCTATATGGCACAGAGTGCCTGGAGTACTCATTTGAAGCGGTTAATAAATTGCTCCTATTGCTGTAATTTTCATTAGAGACGGACTGTCTTCAAGAACCTATGCATATACCCACAGAGTCTTCCTCTCCTTACTTCTTCTAAATATTGTGAAGATTTCTGGTTAGAGAGGTTTTCCTCACTGTCCTCTAACTCAAGTCTTATAACTTTATCTGATTTACTATGGCTTAATTAAAAAAAATGTTGAATATCACTGTGCTGGTTTGTTAGATATAAAGTAGAGCATGAATAATGATAAAAATGAGTGAAAGCTAATGTGAGTTTTAAGACTATAAAGAAGACTACATTGGGTGGTATACACTACATGACTAGGGATCTCAATTCTTACTAAGAAAGAATCTAAGCAGGAATGTAAAAGGTCTTCCTCTAACGCACTGGGTTCATACTATGGTGTCTATCAGCATCATCTGACGAGTCTGCTAAAATCACTGAATCCCAACTCCAAAGTTTTGGACTTGTATGGAATCTAAGAATTTGCATTTTAACAAGTGTGGAGACAACAGTTTGAGAGACCATTGCTCTAAAGCTG